CTGAATATATAGAAATAAATCGTGAATATATAGTTATAACTGAATATATAAATGTAAATTGTAAATATAAAGAAGTAAATCTGAATATATAGTTATAAGTTTAAATATATAAATGTAAATCTGAATATATACTTATAAATCAGAATATATAAATGTAAATTGTAAATATATAGAAGAAAATCTGAATATATAGTTAAAAGTCTGAATAAATAGAGGTAAATCCGAAAATATAGTTGTAAAGTTTGAATATATAAATGTAAATTGTGAATTTAAATGTATTATTCTAATTATATAATAGTAAATCACAATGTATTTTTATTAATCTTGAGTATATAAATGCAAATCTGAATATATATATAGTCTACATTTCAACATAAATATATCTTTACAATTAGGCATGTCAATAGGCAGATGTTCTTGCTTTTTTTGAATGAAAACAGTATGCCTATGTATCCTGTACATGTATCAATGCACATATTATACTCTATTAATATGCTGCTGCAATTGTCTCTATTCACTCCAATCACTATTTGTAAACATATGATGTTGTTGACACTTTCCCTATAGCCCTCTCAGCCATGTTGAACTGTGTAGAAAAGATGGGTATTAACATGACTGTGAGGACCTTTTGGCACCACTGCCAGCCTTTTTAAAAGTAGATGGAAAATATTCCTTTTGGTTTAGATTAGCGAGATGAACTTACAATAATTAATATAGTAAAATATTTACATTGATAAGTATATACAGGATGTACAGGTATACTAAAAAGTCTAGATGTAGATAATATACAGTATATCCATAACTGCATTTATATATTCAGGATTTATACATATATTCAGATTTCATGAAATGCATTTATATCAATGATTTACATTTATATATTCAGACTTATAACTATATATTCAGATTTACTTCTTTATATTTACAATTTACATTTATATATTCAGAATTATAAGTATATATTCAGATTCACTTCTATATAATCAGACTTATAACTATATATTCAGATTTACTTCTATATATTCACAATTTCCATTTATATATTCAGATTTATAACTATATATTCAGATTTACTTCTACATATTCAGATTTACATTTATATATTCAGATTTACATTTATATATTCAGAATTATAAATATATATTCAGATTTACATTTATATATTCAGACTTATAACTATATATTCAGATTTACTTCTATATATTCAGACATAACGATATATTCAGACTTTTAACTATATGTTCACAATTTACATTTATATATTCAGATTTTTTTATAATTATTTCCTGTTTGGCACCTCATAATACACACACACACACACACACACTCACTCACACACACACACACACACACACACACACACACACACACACACACACACACTATATATATATATATATGTATGTATATATATATATATGTATGTATATACATATATAAATTATGATTATATAATTAATTGAATATGTAATTTAATATCAAACAATGCATTATTTACATTTTTGATATTTTATATTTTAATGTAATACTTA